CCCTCCCAGTCCTCCCAGTTTTCCTCCCAGTCCTCCCAGTTTCCCTCCCAGTCCTCCCAGTTTTCCTCCCAGTCCTCCCAGTCCTCCCAGTTTCCCTCCCAGTCCTCCTCCTCACCTGCTCTGGGCTGCAGCCTCAGCAGCCTCTGCCGGCTGCCTCTTCCTCTCCTCTTCCTCTTGCCTTCTTCTCACTTCCAGTAACTCCATCTGGACAGAGAAGCAGACAGAGCGTCCGGTTCTGGTTCCGGTTCTGGTCCTGGTCCGGTCCGGCGGGCCTCACCGTGGTCAGCCTCTCCAGCGCGGCGAAGCGCTCCTCCCAGGTGGCGGCGGACTTCTCGAAGGCCTCGTGGCGCTTGATGAGCTTCTCCACCTCGTCCACGCTCTGGCCCATCTCCCGGCTGGACAGGTACGGCTCCTGGCCCAGCAGCCACGCCTCGGCCACGCCCGCGTCCCGCGAGAACTGGTGCACCTCCAGCACTGGGGACACAACCGGGGGTCAGAACCGGGCCGGGCCCGTCGGAACCGGCGGAACGGGTCGGACGTCTCACCCAGCCTCAGCCACTCCCAGCGGTCCTCCCACTTATCGATCATCTCTTTCCTCTTGTCCGTCAGCTGGAGCAACTTCTCCTTAATCTGCAGCAGGAAACAGAAACACAGTGAGCAACTGGGAGAACTGGGAGAACTGGGAATCCATCCTGGTTTAATCTGTCTTATCAGAGTACTGAGCTTTAGAGGAGGTCAAAGGTCATCCACACAGACCAACAAACTGCTGAGTTGGAACATCCTGTTCAGTTCCTGGAGTGTTACTGGCTGCAGACTGGTTGTACTGGTTGGAGGAGAAACCAGTCAACAGTCCATGTGGACGCTGCAGCTGCCTCTGTGGCCACTAGAGGGAGCTGGAGATGAGAGACTTTAGCCAGAAATGTTCTGATCCAGGACGTTTCCAAGAACCCAGAACAGAACCGGGCCTGACCCGGTTAACTTTGGTTTCCTGAAAACTGAAAACCAGCCGAAACACTGAGATCCTGTGCATCCAGAGCGACACCAGCTGGTTTGAGCCGGAACTGATCAACATTTTGATGATCAAACATTTTGATTGGTAATGAAGATTTAGACGATGGGAGGAAACGTAAAGTTTGTTTCTGGTTTCTAAACTATCGCCTGCATGATGTTTAACTTATAACTTTGTATTTTATAATGTAAAGAACTTTGAACTGCCTTGTTGCTGAAATGTGCTCACAATTAAACCTGATTGATCGATTGATTGATTGATTGATTGGGTTCAGTTAAACACTATAGCAGGTCTTTTTAAGTGAGTTTATTCACTTTGCATTAAAATCACTTTTAATCTGAAATGATTTAGATTAAAGGTACATAAATTTAATTAATTAAACATTAATTGTTGGTTTTATTGTAACTTGTTGTATGATTTTCTGTCCACTGGGACATAAATAAACATCTGAAGCTGAAATCTGATCTAAACTGAAGTCGTAGAGCCCAGAACCATGTTTTATATTTAATAAAGCCGAGACGGATCGTTTCCTGATGTTCACCCCATGGACCAGCAGCTGCTTTCTGATCAGCCAGCAGGTGGCGCTGCCCACCTCCTCTGCAGCGTAGTGCTGTCCAGCAGGTGGCGCTGCCCACCTCCTCTGCAGCGTAGTGCTGTCCAGCAGGTGGCGCTGCCTACCTCCTCTGCAGCGTAGTGCTTCCGGGCCAGCAGCGCCTTGCCCAGCTCGATGCAGGCCGTGAAGCTGTCGTTGCGGGCGTCGATCTCCGCCTTGATGCCCTGGTGGTTGTTCATCAGCAGCTCCACCGACGACACGTCCCTGCGGGCGCAGCGGCAGAGGTCAGAGGTCGCCCGGCCCGGCAGCGTCCCTCTGGGCGGAGCGGCTCCTACCTGGGCTTCTCCTGGGCCTCGATGAGCCGGATGACGTCGTCCATCCACAGCATCAGGTCCCGCACCATGCTGAAGAACCGGAACTTGTCGGCCGTGTCCAGCAGCTTGGAGCGCCGGGCCTCCGCCGCCTCCAGGAGGCTCTTCCAGGCCTCCAGCACCTGCAGGGACAGACGGAGACATGAGGGCCGGCTGGACGCAGGGCAGGGGACGGGAGGGACGCAGGGAGACATGGTGGGACACGGAGGACATGTCCCCATGGCAGACAGAGGGAGGGAACCAGCTGCAGCTTTAACTCAAACCAGCGCCATCGTCGTGCAGCAGCAGAAGCTCTGAGCAGAAAACAAGCAGCTAGCTAACGTTAGCCTGCTGAGGCTAAACAGGAAGTGATGTCACAGGATCCATCTGAATTAAAGCTGATTGTGTCCCGTCGGCATCACTGAGGCTAAAGTCCAGCTGACCTGCAGAGGCTCCGGATCCAACCAGAACCAGAACGGCTCTTAAAGCTGCAGTACTTTATAGAAAATATTTTTTTACATATTTGTTGTGAGACAATCTGTATAAATATTAATCTCCTTCCTTCTGCCAGCGCCAACTAGAAACAACCAATCAGAGCGTGGGGGCGGGTCTTAGTGACGTCAATCACCCTCCACCTCCCCCTTGTTCTCTGCTACACTGCAGTCGTCAGGAATGCTAATGCTAATTAGCAGAGCCACTGATGAAGGTGGATAAGCTGTTTTCCTGTTTAAGTTGTTTCTCTGCCATTAGCATCTTTAACAGCACATACACAAGGTGATTGACAGCATTAAGCCCCGCCTCCTGGCTCTGATTGGTTGTTTTTGACTGTGCGTTTCTTCAGCGAGGAGATCGATGTTTTCACAGATTATCGGTCTCATAAACTGTTATGTGACAGTTTGAACTGTAAAAACATATTTTTGATAAAGTCGCATCGTTTAGCTTCAATGTTTCTGACCCGGTGATGAAGGTGTGAAGAGGAGGCGGTAACCATGGAGCCTCCTCCCCAGCTTCACTGTCTGCTCACCTTGTTACTGCAGGAGCGTTTGTTTTCAGCTTCTCAGCAGCCCAGCCGGGTGGAGAAGACCGAGACAAACGATCCCAGTTTGAGATGAGCGCTCAGCCAGAGCGACTAAAATGTTTCTGAGCTCATTTTAGTCCAAAGAGGAAGAGGAGGAGAGGAAGAGCAGCCAAGTGATGCAAAGCTGGAGGGGGCGGAGTCTCACCTCTCCCTTTCTCTTCTGGGCCCACAGAGCGAAACGCAGGGAGACACACAGGGACGGTCAAAACACAGCAGCAACACGCTAACATGCTAAAGTGCTAACACGCTGGCCTGAAAAACCCGAACCAGCAGAATCCAGACGGGTCAGATCCAGGAAACACCAGCCTGACATAAACATGGAGGTTAAACTACGGCTCCTCTGGTGGGACAAAACTCAGAATAACTCAGAATAATCTGACTGCTGCAGCGTAATCCGACATTCACAACATTAACTCAGGAGGAAAATAATCCCATATTCACAAATAAAAACAATTTTAAATAAATGGAACTATTAGATATTAAATATTTATCTTTGGAGGAACTTATTGAATAAGTGCATGTTCCCAGGGGAAGGAAAATGATGTGACACCGAGGCCTTTTCTGGAAGCCATGTTGAAGTTTGGAAGTTTAACTGCAACAGTTTTACAGTTTTTACTCTTATAATGTCAGGAAACTGCAGCGAAAGGGTTTGACAAGGTTTCCATGGCAACCATTCCCTGGTTTACTTTAACTATGCCACTGATGTCAGGTCAGATGAGCCTGAATCATTCTGTCTGGGTCAGAACCAAAGGATGAGGTTAAACCCGTTCAGGCCACTGCAGAGTAAAGTGGAGGCTCCGTGATGCTGTGGGCTGCAGGAGGCCGAGAGTTCATGAGATCTGAAACATTTAAACACGTCTTCATGATGGAGAACGACCCGAAGCATCAAAACTACTTCATCCAGAACCAGAACCAGGACTCTGGACCCGGTGCAGAGAGATTCTGGACCTGAGGTGAGGCTGAAGCAGTAAATGTGTTAATTATTCCCGTCATCAGACGGTTTAAATTCACCAGAGGAACATTTTTATCCGATCCAGTTAAACTGCTGTTAAACATGAACTCAGACAATCTGACATGAAACCAGCAGGTTAAAACCACAGCGGCGGCTTTAATCTGCTGTCCCGGTGCTGAAGCAGCAGCAGGTGAGTGAATGTGTGGCGCTGCGACCTGAAGAGGCTAAAGGCCTCTCCCAGTAAGACTGGAAATCACCTCCAGTTATCTAAACCAGTTTAAACCTGAAACAGAAACTGGAGATGAAGCTTCATCAGGCGAATAAACCTTCATCTGTAAACAAAGCAAACAGTCCAGATGCTCAGACCTGCAGGGACTCAGGATGAGAACTGATGACACGTTGATCATTAAACCCCAAGAAATGTTATGTTTTTAACTCATATTCATGGTTTTACCAGTTTTGTGTTCAGGAGTCAAACTTCAGTAAAGATCAGTTATTTTGCTCCAGTTCACAGCTTTTTGACCATTCCCTGTGTGATGTCACAGTGTGTGAGGAGGAACATTTAAAGGGCCGGTATCATAAAACCAACATTTTCTATCTTTCCATCCTGTTTTAAAGTTTTTCCCTCATCAGAATCAAACCTGCAGTCCTTTAATCTCCATGGCAACCATTCAGCTGCAAAACGCCTGGGTGGACCTAGCCCCGCCTCCGAGGCACAGCTCCTCCCACTCAGCTCCTTCAGACTAGCCAGCAGCAATTAGCAAACAGCTGCTGAGCTCGTTATAGGAGCTGCTGCTCAGAGAGACGCTGGTGAAAACATTAAAGGGTTAAAGAGGAGCCATGTTGAGACGACTTCCTGGAGGCTGAGCTTCAGGAGTTCTTAAAGAGACAGAGGCCCAATTTCAAGGCGATAAATCAGGAAGTGACATTTATTTAAAGTCATATTTGATATTATAACAACCGAAAGTAACAGTTACTAGACTGTCCTATACAATGTGAGTCTGTGCCTGGAAAACCCATGATACCGGCCCTTTAAGCCCTGGCTCTGGTATAGTTAAAGTAATCTGTGCTGCTGAGGCTTTTCAGGTGTGTGGAGGAGCAGAGGGCTGATGTGATATGAGAGCAGCAGCCGTGCAGCATGCGTTGCGCTGAGAGCAGCAGTGGCACTGTCTCTTTAAGACGTGTCTCTGGTCTGATGAGGGAGCAGAGTGCTGGTCTCTCACCTCTCCTTCTCTCTTCTGGATGTCGTCGGCTTTATCTCCGGCGTACGCCGACTGCAGACGGACGGCGTCTTCCTGCAGCTGCCGGACCTGCAGACAGACCGGTCTGAGCTCAACAAACTCCTTCATGTTTCTACCTTACTAACAGGTTGGGTGCCGGGCTCTCCGGGCGCCGGGCTCCCTGGCTCCAGCGTACCTGCGTGCCCAGCGCCTGGATGTCGTGCTCGAAGGTGGTGTGCATCCTCTGCAGAGTCTCCACGGTGTTCTGGTCGCGGCCCAGCTCCTCCGGCAGCTTCTTGTGTTTGTCCAGGATGCGGTGCAGGATCTCCTTGGCGTCGTGGTAGAACTTGTGCAGCTCGTAGGAGGCGGCCAGGATCTGCGTGCGCGTGTCGATGAGCTCCAGCAGGTCGGCCCAGGCCTCGTTCAGCCCGTCCTTCCACTCGGCGATGGTGGCCGCGTCGCCGTGGCCCGCGTTGATCAGCTCGTCCGCCAGCTTGTTAACGCCGTCGACGCGCTCCTGGCCGATGTTCCCCGTGTCGCGGGCGAACTCTCGGAAACGTTCCTGCAGCATCTGATCGGACCAGGAAAGGTCAGAGGTCAACTGGATGAAGCAGTAGCTCATATTCCACATTAATATTCATGTTTTCCTTGTTTTAACCGAGCGTACATTAAAACGCTTAGTTTAAAACAGTAAAGAAATCTTTTTAAATTTGTTTTTTGTTTTGATTCTAACAATAAAAGTCAGAAAAGCTTCAGAGAAAATTATTTCAACATCTTGGTAGTTTTGCTCTGGATGGTTGTTTAAACTCATAAAACAGTTTAACTGCCACAAAACATTCAGGAGTTAAAAAAAGCTCTGCATAAGAAATGTTAAAAAATTTTTTAAAAATATCTTATTGTAGCTAAAATGGAAGAAAAATATTCTGGTTTTGTTTGTGTTAAAAGGATCATTTTAATTTGTACAAATGGAAATGAAACTTTAAAGAGTTTCACCTTAAACTGTAAAAGTTTATCAGAATAAAACCTCAAACAGACGCAGGTTGGAGCTTCTCTGCATTTTAACTTTAGTAGTAGTTTAATTTCCCTTGTAGTTCAGATAAACAAACCTATTTTTGTTGATTCTGGTGATAAATGAATGATTTTCAGTTGTTCAGATGATTAAACTTAAAACAGTAAAATATAAAGTTTATCAGAAGGAAACCTCAGACGGAGCAGATCTCGTCTCACCGTGACGTGCTCGTAGTCCTGGCCCAGCTCGTGCGACCCGGCCACCACCTCCCTCTCGGCGATCCACTGCTCCAGGTCGTCCACCTCCCGGTTCAGCTGGAACAGACGGAAACGCTCGTCCAGCTTCCCGCGCCGCTCCTCCGCCAGGTCCTTCAGCCCCGCGTACAGCTTGTCCACCTGCGACTGCCGCATGCCGATGCGCTCGCTGCGGCGGGAGGACACAGGTCAGGGTTGGCTCCCCGCAGGGGGCGGGGCTAAGGAGCGGCCTCCCCGCAGGGGGCGGGGCTAAGGAGCGGCCTCCCCGCAGGGGGCGGGGCTAAGGAGCGGCCTCACCTGTCGGGGTGTCCTGCGGCCACCAGGCCCCGGCTGGTGCTGGACAGCTGATGGACGGCGTCGGCGTAATCCTCCACCGCCTGCTCCAGGATCTGATGCTTCTTCAGCATGGCCACCGAGCTCTGCTCATCCTGGACAAAGGTCAGAGGGGCTGATCAGAGGTCAGACAGCCTGCTGAACCGGGTCAGAGGTCAGACTGACTCCTCTCTGCTGAACCGAGCTGCCAGAACTCAGCGACGCCCAGGAGGAAACGATACCAGAACAAGGAAGTGAAAGGAAAAGAGAAAGACGGGAAATTTACCGACTGGGGAAATTTAAAAACAACCAAACAAGAAACAAAACCTGAAGAAAATGGAAAAAATGAAATAAAGTTAAAAGATTCAAGAAAACGATGGAAAATAAAAAGGATCTGGAGTTTAAACAGATATAGATCTATATCTATATCAGACATTAGCTCTACATATACAGCTCTATAGATCTATATCTATATCAGACATTAGCTCTACATATACAGCTCTATAGATCTATATCTGTGAACCAGGAAGTGTTTTCTGGCCCCGCCCACCTTGGCCTTCTCCTCAGACATCATGTACAGCTCCTGCTCGCTCATCCAGGCCTCGGCCTCCGCAGCGTCAAAGTAGTACTGCTGGGCCTCGTGGGCCTCGCCGAGGCGGGAATGCCGGTTCTCCGTCTCCTTCCGGATCCGCTCCCACAGCGCCTGCAGCTCCGTGAGCCTCTGCCGGATCGGCTCGGCCGTGGGGCTGCCGGCCCGCAGGACCTGCTGGCTGCGCTCAAAGATGTCGTCATAACGAGGCTGGTGGCCCTGGATCTCCTTCTGCAGCGTCTGCAGGCAGGGAGGTCACACACACACACAGAGAGGCAGGTCACACACACACACACACAGAGGCAGGTCACACACACACACACACAGAGGCAGGTCACACACACACACACAGAGAGGCAGGTCACACACACACACACACAGAGGCAGGTCACACACACACACACAGAGGCAGGTCACACACACACACACAGAGAGGCAGGTCACACACACACACACTCTGGGTCAACATGGTATCGGCTCGCTGCATGGTGTTTCCTGTAGTTTCCTGTTAAACTGTGTAGATGTGCGACAGCAGTCGGGTTTCAGCCGTTTCCAGGTGATAGGTCAAAGGTTACCTGGTTCTTCTTGATGAGCAGCTGCACCGTCTGCAGGTTGTGTCCGTGGTCAGTGGACGTGGCCAGAGGCAGCCGCTCCTCCACCCACAGCTGCACACAGAGCAGGAGGTCAGACACACCAAGAGGAGTCAATCTGGTTTCCATAGAAACCAAGAACCAATCAGCCGTCAATAAACACCAAACAACCAGCATTTACAGAGAATTAAATAAAAACAGATGGTTTCTTTAGACACATTTGATCCACGAGCAGAAATAAAACTTCTTAAAAGTTCTGACTTTTTAATTTTAAAAAAAGATTTTCTCAAATTATAAATGTCTCTGTTTGGAAATGTGCTGGAATCAGTCAATTATCTGGTGATAATGTACTGTTATGTATTTTAAACATAACTTACAGAATAAACTGCTTCACCTCATTTAATACCAGAGCTGATTATTATTTACAGATTGAACAGATTAATAACACGAAAAGCTGACAGCTGGAAATAATCTGGAGAAGAAGAAACCATGATTGTCCTCCAGCAAATATTTAATAACTTTATTTAAAGTTTTTTTTTGTTCCTGTTTCTGCAGATGCAGAATCTTTATGTAACCTGAAATCAGACAAAACAAATATGTTCAAATAACTGGAAACGGTTCTGCTGCGTTTACTATGGTTTTATTGAAACCAGAACCATCAGAACCACCAGAACCACCAGAACCATCAGAACCATCAGAACCATCAGAACCACCAGAACCATCAGAACCATCAGAACCGTGGGGTCCAGACTGACAGTCCTCTATAAAGTGAAAGTCTGATATCAAACTTTACTGTGAACTCGGTTCTTCTATGAAAACAGAAGTAGTTGCAGCTTTAACGTTTGTTCCTGGTTTCATGTTGATAAAGTGAACCTGGAAATGAACAGAACCAGAACCAGAACAGGAACTGCGGACTCACGATCTCGTCCTCCACGTCTCTGTTGAACTGGTGGATCTCGCGGGACGCCATCAGGTTGTCGCGCCTCATCTTGAGCGGCGCCAGCAGCGCCTGGAACTTGTTCTCCACGCTGATGCGCTTCCCGTCCGCCTCGTCAGAACCTTTCCCCTCCTGGCTCAGCGCCTGCGACTGCTTCTGCAGCTCCTCCACCTCCTTCTGACGCACCTCCACCTGGCTCTCCAGCATCTGCAGGAGCAGCAGCACAGGGAGCTGCCATCAGTGACCGTGTGCTTTCTGAGCGACATCATGGTTTATTACAGGGTCCAAACTTTCTGCCATGAGAGCCACAGGCCAACCTGTTATTAATCTAAATCACTTAAAGATAAATTAACTTTTCAGTAATATTATAATTTACTGAATGTGTGTAGGGTTAAAAGCTCCTCTCATCACATTTCCATTGATCCATCATCGGGTCCTCTGGGTTCGGTATAAATCAAAATGGCTGAAGCCAACCTCCCAATCACATCAGAGTCAGTTTATTGATGATAACTGGTCAGATATCTGATCAAAGAACAGATGATGGAGGTCTGAAGAGTCTATCATCAACATCAAAGAAACCCCTATAATCTCTGCTGTACTGGTTTAACTGGTCTGACTGGTCTACCTGCTGCTTCTTCAGCATGATGTTGACGGAGGTCAGGTCTTTGCCGAAGTCGTCAGACTGCAGCTGGCTGTCCATGCCGGTCAGCCACTTGTCCAGGTCGGCGCAGCTCTGGGTGAAAAGCTCGGCCTTGTTGGCGTCAAACAGACACTTGGCCTTGGTCTGGGTGGTCGACTCAAGGTCGTCCCACATGACCTTCAGGGACGCCAGCTTCTCCTTCACCATGGCCTCCGTCTCTGGCTTCTCTGCCGTCAGCGCCTGGCCGTCCTGCAGCACAACCACAGAGCTTAGCCCAGGGAGCAAGACACGCTAGCCTAAAGTTAGCATTCGCTTAGCTTTGAGATAAGCCAGCCTGAAGATAGCATTAGCTTAGCTTTAAGATAAGCTAGCCTAAAGTAAGCATTCGCTTAGCTTTGAGATAAGCTAGCCTAAAGTTAGTATTAGCTTAGCTTTGAGATAAGCCAGCCTGAAGATAGCATTAGCTTAGGTTAGACAAGATAAGCTAGCTAGAGAATCAGTTAGGGTTAGCTTAGGTAAGGATAGAAAATAATAAGCTAATTGAAATCAAGCTAAGCTAAGCCAGAAGCAGCTCTTTGCAGTGTAGCTTATAAAAATGCTATCTTTGTATGTGAAGAACTTTAAGGATTCATGTTTATACTAGATTCTTTTATCAAACATGTTTTCTCACTGGAACAAAGGAAGCTCTAAAGGCTTTATTTCCGTCAGAGCCGTTTCCTAAAGCCAGCTGAGCGTGATTTCAACAAAGTTCTGTGTTTTTCTTGCTGAAAGCTTGATTTACGCCATGCTGAGTGTTTCCCTCCTGACCTTTTCGATCTTGTCCAGCCACTCCTTGTTGGACTGCAGCTCGGCCATGAAGGCCTGGTGCTTCAGCCACTTGCTGTGCAGGTTCCTGGCCTCGTCGTACGTCATGTCCTGAGCCGTCAGCATCTTCTCGTTGATCCACAGGGACAGCTGGGGACAGAGACACGCTGAGCGTCCAAACCAGACAACCTGACCGTCTGCAAACCGTCTGTGACCTTTCACCGCCGGGCCTGACCTCTTGGCAGTCCTGCAGGAACTTCTGCAGGTCCCGGTTGTCCTTCAGCTTGCTCAGCAGATCTTTGGCCGCCTGCCGGTTCTTCTTGTGTCTGAAACAAACATCAGAAGTGAGTCCAGGTCCCAACCGGCCCACAGATTAATGAACTCGTTTCATCTGGAGGAGCAGACAGGATCTGTGCTACCTCTGGTCGATGGAGTCCACCTTCTCCTGGATGCGCTCGCTGTTGATGTTGCCATCGGCGACCAGGCGGCGCCCGGTGTCAACCACGCCGCTGATCTTTTCCTCGTTGGCGTCCATGGTGGTCATGAAGTCCTCCTGCTTCTTGATGGCGGCCTCGGCGCCCTCCAGGGTGGTGGGCATCTCAGTGTGGGCCAGGACGTACTCCTGAACCGAACACACACCAGAACTCAGACCAGTTAATATCATCATCATCATCATCATCACCAGACAACTCTGCTGCTTCTTCTCTTGTATTTCGGTTCACCAACAACTTACGGCTCAGATGTTCTAGTGCTGCTTTAATGATTCTAAAATGCTATTTCTTTTTAAAAAACTAGATAGTTTTTATAATTTTTATCCATTCCTGACTGTGACAGGCTAACCTCTGAGCCATATTTTTTAATCCTGAACGTTGAGTGTAATTTTCTCTGTTTTTCCTTGAATGAACATGTCACTGAGCCAGAGGTCCTCCACCAGCAGGGGGCAGCACCACACCTTCATGTTAATGAATCTGAACTTGTTTCATCAATGTGATTGAAACCAGAGGAACGGTTGAATGGACTTGGTCCGACAGGTGTTTTTTACCAGGTAAGGGTTGGGTATTGTGTGAC